GTGTCAGCAACGACATGCGATTTGTCTGTCTTTGATGTGACATCATTTGCCACGCGTCCATCCCCTATTGGCTGTGACCTCTGTATTCCAGTATGTTCTGACATTACTTGTGTAAGACGAGGTCATGATGAGCAGCCTAGACTAGACTATGCTAGTGACCTATACGTCAATAGCTTATCTCGGAGTAGATGAAGCGTCCAGCACGGAGTAACTCTCGGCACCGAGGAAAGGCTCGCCTCGGGGACCGAGGGAGGTATGTGACCGAGGTACATAGATGACCGATGACACGTGTTGGTTGTAAAAACATACTGAATGCATGATCCTATATATGAGTACCTCGGCGGCGAGGACATTCGTCGCCGATGGTGCTTGATCCAAGCAACAGTGTTTTAGCAAAACCGAGGACACGTGTCTTCATCATAGGGTATTTCAGAAGAGTCCCATCACTGAACATTTTGTATCAAAATCCCTTTAATTTGGACATGGATTTCTATGTCCGCAGAGTTGATGATAACATAAAATGTCCAACATGTGGCACCAGTCTTCATGGACCCAACCATTGCCTTCTTACGTACGTAGATTTGATGCCGACAATAAAAGAAAAAAAAATTTGACATAGTCAACGAGACTCTCGTTATCAAATATCTTGTACATTGATTTAAGTTTCGCCGTATTCATGAATAAAATTGACAACTACAATTAATTCGAATAAGACTTTTCGTATCAAAACCCGAATAACTTGGTTCAATGAACACAGGATATTCATGTCACAGCTCTCATATTTGGAAATTTCTCCTTCTCAATTGTTTCCACGAGGAAAAAAAAAAGATGGACCCCGAACTTTTCTTATTTACGTAGACTTGATGACCACGTTAGAAAGACGTCATGGTGCTTTTCACACCATGACCTTCATATATACATAATTATATTTGATGACCACATTAAATTTTAAATGTTACAATTACAGTATTAAAAGAGATACAATACTTAAAATTGAAACTTTTATGGATTAAATTATTTTTAAGTACGGGTGTTTTCGACTAATTTTAGGATTTTAAACTCGATTTCAAAGACACCAAAAAGGAAGACTCAAGACTTTCATTTTCTAAACGCTTCCAAGTTTTCTTTTGTCCGACTACAATGAGACACAAAAACAGACAAGTAATAAGGCGAAAGTTTGAAATGAGAGAGAGATTGGGAAAATAAGAGCTTTTTGGGGCAAAAAGGAGTGTGAAAGAGAGAAAAAAAAAAAAAAAACCCACCTTGGTAACCGCAAGACTTTGTTCAAAAAAAGAAAAACTGTAAGACTCACAACACCCATAGTCAAGAGTCAAGACTAAACACCAATATTCTTCTTTAACCTTCAATAGCATTATAATGACACAACTAACAGATCTTTGTTAAAACATTCTAAATCCATTTTTTTATTTTTTATTTTTATATTTAATCATATGATTTTATGGAGTGCAGGCAAATGGTTCGCAACATTTTGACCTTTAGTTGTTAGATTTGCATGAATTTTGTTACATCTAACACTTTTTTTTTTGAAAGAAAAACTGAATAGAGTATCATTTGAGACTCCCGTAATTATGGAATACATAAAAGATCAGACATATGTAACATTATTCTCATGTGCAAAAAGAGATAATTTTTGTAATTTGGACCGTGACTTTGATTTTAAGTTAAAAAAGTCTTATCGGGCCCTTTCAAGAACCAATGTCTAAGAATTAATAGTAATTATTTGTATTAATTCAATTTTTATAGTAAATTAACTCAATAAATTATGTTCAAGCAATATATTACTCTATAATCACCTAATTTAATAACTTAATTTACTGATCTAATCTGTCACATCTATTAATTGTGGACCACATCCAATATTGAGACTTGTGCTAATCCAACGGCTGTAGTGAATTACATCAAAAAATTAAGTTTAAGTAACATTACTATATCATCAAGAATAACATTGTTGTATTCTTTTTGTTTTGGGGATGAAGGATCTTCATTTCTCCTGTTCGGAAGATGAATCATCCCGTTGGACTCTCTTTTGTAAATTGTTCCTGGACCTCTTTTTATTTTTATTATATTCATCTTCCTTACCGAAAAAAAAAGAAAAAAAAAATTGTTATTCAAATATAATTTATTAGCCTAATTTACTACGGTATTTGAATTAACAGAGAGCCTCATTCAACATAGATATTTGATATTAATTCAATAACTAAGGTGAATTAAGTCGATAAATTAAATTGAATAACATCGTTCCATCGTCAAACTTTCTCGTCATCATTCCATCATCAAACTTTCTCAATGTAAATGTAGAGAAAATTACTGCATCCAATCACGGTTGCCGTGGAACATGTGTTATGACTAAACCGTCTGAAAAACGTTTCTCTTTCACCTATATATAGGCCTTTCATCTCCTACCTAGTTTTTCACAAATAACCTAAGATTTTGCTAAGCAATAGAGTGATATCAAAATGGGTATGTGTAAGACCTCACTAGCCCTTGTTTGCCTCCTAGGCTTGGTAATGTTTCATTCCTCTCAAGCCCAAAACTCACCCGAAGACTATCTCAATGCCCACAATGCAGCTCGTTCACAGGTGGGTGTTGGTCCTCTGACATGGGACAACAACGTAGCCTCCTATGCAGAAAACTATGCAAATCAAAGGATCAATGACTGCAACCTCATCCACTCGCAAGGCCAATACGGCGAAAACCTGGCCACCGGAACTGGCACCTTATCAGGAACCGATGCCGTGAACCTGTGGGTCAGTGAGAGTGTTAATTATGACTACAATTCCAATTCTTGTACTGGTGAGCAGTGCGGGCACTACACTCAGGTGGTGAAAGTCTTGAGGAAGGGTCTAGGGAGGGAAAGAAGGACCCTGGGTAGTAGCATGCTGGGGACGTCGCGGACATGGCCTTCTCAAGGTCATGGTCCCGCGGGGACCAGTTATGGTCATGGACTTGGGACCTCACTTTTACCTCGGTTGTCAAACCATCGTTAGAGCCACGTCCAAACTTTTTTTGAGAAAATGTCACATCCGCTTAGTTAATGTTATAACACGTGGCTCGCAGTTAGCGACTACCGGCATTATCGCGATCGAGGTAGTTGTGAGTTTGCGCGAGTGGTAGGGGGTTGTAGCGGGCAGCTCAGGCACTCTGCTATATCAGTTCGTTCCTTCGTTAGCAAACTGCTCGAATTTCTTTCAAATCATTCGCTTATCCTAATCATCTGCTTCAATTATCTTTTACATAGACACGTGTAACAATATTTTTTAACTCTCCACCCACAAATAATATCGAATAACTGAAAATCAATGTGATCGAGCCCTAGATCTGCAATACCTTGGCTAGCTTTCCTATTTGTCTCCCTCTTTTCTCTCTTTTATGGGTTATGAGTTTGAGGTGCTTATGAATTTTTGCAGACGCGCGGTGTATGAAGGTGGAGAGTATTTATTGAAACAAAAGCCCTGATTCAAACCGACTTAAGTTTGTCGACTCCTTTCAATCCGATTG